CACCACCCTGTTCTTGAGCGAGAAAAATGAAAGATTCTGAAGCTCATTCAGTAAAATTTGTTCAAATTGGGTTGTGTCATCACTCTTACTTCTCCTAATTTGCGCAGCCTTGGACATATTCTGCTCTCTTTTTAAGAGAACAAAAGTTGTGAGGATTAATCACTCTTTGATGGAAACTTTGACTACGGTTAATTAAATTTTTGAAACACTGTGGGGCACCACCCGGGCACCGGTCATTTCCTGGTTACGCCACTAGAATAGTGGTGGAATGGGGAAGGAATATAGGAATAGTGGAATAGCGGAACGGTGGAATAAAGGAATGAAGGAACGACGACCGACCGACCGGAATATATTTCGAAGCGCTCCCTTACTTTTATTTATAATTTTGTATTTTTCGTTCTAGTACTTTAATTAATCTTTCAATCAATATCTACCTACGTTTAGTTTTTACAATTTTAATTATTTGAAGATTGTCAACGATTTAATTCGTTTTCTAAATAAGAAAAAGACTACTTATACGTATTTATTTGACGATGTATTTCTTTTAGCATTTATTGAAGATTCACACAATACGGCAATAACATACTGATACACCTTGATTTTACACACATATACGTATTTATGAAATAAGGATTAGAATGAGATTTATCTTTAAAAAAATATCGTTTTCTGTTTCTCTATGATAATTGAAAAAGAGGTGTATGTTACCTGCAAGAAAATATATAGGTAGCACAACAAAATAAAAATGTATCATATTTAATTCATTTTTTTCTTTTTATTGTAGATAAAAATGATGTTAGCATTAATAACGATCGTTTTTGGTTGTTTATTAAATTTCTTCTCGTTTCAAGTTCAAGCAGATACATGTGATACTTATAATCATCCACAATATGGTATTGGTCAATGTATTGATCAAAGTCGATGTCCCAATTCATTATATATATCTGGTTTATGTGAATCACAACCATCTATTATAAAATGTTGTTTTTCATTAGAACCAATGAAAGAAGAATTTCGAGCTATATGGATAGCTACAGTAACTAATATTGATTGGCCATCATCTAAAACAGCTACAGCTGCTCAACAACAATCTGAATTACTTAATATTCTAAATAAAGTTCAAGAATTAAATATGAATGCTGTCATTTTTCAAGTACGAACACAATCAGAGTCTTATTTGCTTCTTATGACATATATATAAAGATGATTTGTAACTTTAGATTCGTCCTGCTAGTGATGCTTTTTATTCATCATCACTAGAACCATGGAGTTTCTATTTAACTGGCACTCAAGGTGTTGCACCATCACCATTTTGGGATCCATTAGCATTCATTATCAATGAAGCACATAAACGAAATATTGAAGTACATGCATGGCTCAATCCATATCGTGCGCGTACGAGTGGTGCAACCTATGAATTAGCACCTACTAATATGGCTAAAAGATTTCCACAATATGCTTATACATATGCAAATAATATATGGATGGATCCTGGTGCAGCTGTAGTTCAGCAATTCACAGTCAATGTTACTGCAGATATTGTTAGACGTTATGCTGTTGATGGTATACATATCGATGATTATTTCTATCCATATAGCGATGGTACTGAATTTCCTGATAGTGCTACCTATGCTGCTTATCAAGCACAAGGTGGCAAATTAGATAAAGCGGATTGGCGTCGTTTAAATGTCAATAATTTAATTCAATCGATGTATACAACAATGCATGCTATTCGACCAAAAGTTAAATTTGGTGTTTCACCATTTGGAATATGGAAAAGTGGTGTACCAGCCGGTATATCTGGTTTATCATCATATGATAGTCTATATGCTGATAGTCAAATGTGGTTAGAACAAGGTTTAGTTGATTATATGGCACCACAACTTTATTGGGCAATTGATCCACCAGCACAATCATATCCTGTTTTACTTAATTGGTGGATAGAACAATCGGCTAAAGGTCGTCATGTTTATGCTGGTAATGCTGCATATAAAATGGCTCAAGGTACTGTTCAATGGCAAGCAAGTGAATTGGTTCGACAAGTAAATATAACTCGTTCAATGCGTGATCGACTTGCACTTGGTAATATTTATTTTTCAACGAAAGAAATCATGAGAAATGTCAAAGGCATTCAAACAGAACTTGCAGCACTTTACAAAAAAAAGGCTATCATACCTAAAATGAATTGGCTTTAATATATTAAACTTTTATTTGACAAGTTATAAATAATTAAATCAAAAGCTTTTAGTGCTACATCTAATTAAACTTGCAATAAATAAAAATTTCATAATGTTATAATGTTTCATTAGTAGTTTAAACAGTCGAATAGTAAATGACTTTCAGAAATTTTTAATAATATCAAAAATGATATAAATATTTTTTTAAAAACCATATAAAAAAAAAAGATAATTTTCTTTTTTTGTTTCTATCGACAAAACAAAAGTATTAACTATCAATATCACGTAGATCAACATGGAAAAAAAAAGAAAAAAAAAAGTACTTTTTCTGTTGATATGAGAACATTACTCTTGATGATCGGATTACTATTCAACGACACTTATTGATAAGCAATATACATACGATTGCCAACAATCAAATCAATCAACAATACTTCAAATAATTGTATATTATTAAAACAATGAAAATTCTTCATTCGATCTTGTACGCCCTCTACAGTCTATTATCCTAATGGTAACTTCTATCTTCGTAATGCAAATATAAATAGACTAAAAACAACAACCAATTTATCTATCTAATTTCTGTTATCAGAAAATGTGAAAGACATAAAGTAAAGTAATTATTTTCCTATGTTAATTTATATTGTCACATAATAAATAATTGTAAAAAGTTGAAGAAGAAGTGTTAATAAAAATTACATTACATAGTTTTCTGTGTCTGTGAGCCGTCATATTTTTCTCTTCTATTTTTACAGTAGATTAATCGAGTATTTTTCTTTCTTTACTTGATTGTTTGATTAGCATTAAATATGCAGCAATGGTACGTTCAATAGATCTTCAACCAAGACAACGTAAGTATAAATATAAATATACAAATCCAAAAAAATAAAAGCAAAATATTATCTTCTTTTGACTAATCTAAAAACAAAGTCTACGAAATATTGTTTCAATTTCCCTTAGGTCTTTTGAATGTTGCATGTCAACTAGAAATGAAATCGTGTTCTAGTATTATTAGTATCTTTCGGCTAGTAATAATACAGCAATAAATCATCAATATTTACTCAATATTTTACGTCTATTCGATTTTTATTACGATCTTTCGATTTAACTTGGTGATTTCGCTTGCATATTTAAGTATTTTTTTTTCTCTTTTCTTCATTCTATGCATGTGTCACGTAGCTATTTCTTTTTTTCGATACAAAGAAAAACAATTATTTATTCTTTTAACTATGATCCTCTTTATCAATGAAAGGAAACAGAAAGTAATGCTCTATTATTATTCTTTTTTTTTTCATTTTCTTTTAAGATTTGTTTTTATGCTATGTAGCACATATGAGATGGACCCAGCGATATGGTGTTATGGCAATAGCCATCATTGTTATACTTGCATTTGTTTTCGTTTTACATCAAAAACGTAAGTTTTAATATACAAAAAAAAAAAGAAAATTAAATAAAGTTTTTTTTCTTCTTATTTTTATTATAGAAATTTATGAAGATCAAACAAAACAAACAATTGAATTATTACAAAATCGTATTGATTATGTTTCACGTCTTAATGATGAGCATTTACAAGAATTATCAACAATAAAACAACAAAATATTCGTTTAACTCGTTCACTTAATTCAATTAAATCTTGTCATCGTCGTTTCGGTACAAATAATAATAATAATAATAATAATAATTTATCAGTAATAAATTTCAATAGTACAATTATTGATGAAACATTTAATGATAATACAATTGATTCAATAAAAAATGGTTTTCATTTACCATCTAGTTTTAGTTATTTAAAACATCTTAATAATAAACATGATATGTTATCACCATCATTCCATCGTCAAACAACAAATGGAAAATTTCTACGTCAAAATATATCATTCGTTATTGGTATACCAACAGTTAAACGTGATAAACAATCATATCTTATTGAAACAATTAAATCATTAATTGATAATTTAAATAATGAAGATATTGAACATGTATTAATTGTTATATTTATTGCTGAACCATTTGATATTGAATATGTACGTACAACAGCTCATCAAATAGAAAAACTTTATGATAAATATATTGAAAATGGTTTAATTGAAATAATAAGTCCACCAAATGAATTTTATCCTGATTTTGATAAATTAACATTAAGTTTAAATGATGATAAAGAACGAGTTAAATGGCGTACAAAACAAAATTATGATTTTACTTATTTAATGATGTATTCATCAACTAGAGGAAAATATTATATACAGTTAGAAGATGATGTTGTTACAAAACCTGATTATATTCATATTATTGAAAGTTTTATTAATCGACAAAAAACACAAGATTGGTTTATGCTAGAATATTCAAGTTTAGGTAATTATAATTACTCAAAAAAAAAAAAAATCTACTCATTGTTCATTCTATTATTATCTAAATAGAAAATAGTTCATTTAACTTATCTTTATCTTATCTTTAAATTTTTATTAAAAATGTACTTTAAGATGTTTGTATGTTATCACTAAAATGTCAGTCGCCATGGCCAAATGACTACATCTATTCAACACGTACTGTGTACATATCTTAGCATGTCAGTCATAAAATGACCTTCGACGAATCACTAATAGTTATTTCTCACGGATCTATCGATCTGATAGTATGCTGATTAAATTGTTATATGCACTTGCTTGTGTTGATAGTTAGTGTGTATAGGAAGCGCAAGAGCTCTGTGCCATACACTCCATCCTCCAAGGTAGCTCAAAGAAAGGCGGTATTCTTTCTAGTATGTCTAGCTTTAAGAGTTAATAATAGAACAAAAACAATATTAAAAATAAATCTCGCTGGAATCTGAAGTGAGTCTGTGTAAACAACTGATGTTTATTCAGTCACGAAAGAAACTATTAAAATCGATTGATTTATATTTCTGATGTATATAAGGCTCTCGCTAATAAACTTCTTTTTTAATTTTATCTCAATGTATGAATTAATATGTTTTATTTTTTTTAAAGGTTTTATTGGTAAAATGTTTCATACTAAAGATCTTGATGCACTAGTCAATTTTTTTCTTATGTTCTCTGCTGATAAACCGATTGATTGGTTACTGGAATAGTAAGTAACAATAATAAAAACTCAAATATTTATAAATGTCTTAATATATTCTATAAATATTTAGTTATCAAGATACAAAATATTGTTCATTTGGTGCTGATATTCAATCATGTTCAAGAACAAAAGGTTTACATCGTTTTCGTTTTCGTCCATCATTATTTCAACATATTGGAATATATTCATCATTGAAAGGGAAAATACAAAAATTAAAAGATAGAGATTTCGGTAAAAATGTTAAATTATTTAAAGCACATGAAAATCCACATGTATCGTCAATTGTATCAACATTAAAAGATTATGATAAACATACATTAGTAAGTTGTTATGCAGGACAAAATTTTTTTTGGGCATTACAACCTAAAAAAGGTGATACTATTGAATTTAAATATGAACCACCACTTTCATTATCCAGGTAATCAAAAAACAAAAACAAAAAACAAACAAATTTTTTTTAATGTTTATTCTTATAGAGTTTATTTTAAATCCGGTAATCCAGAACATCCAGGAGATAAATTTTTTAATACAACTATTGATTTATTACCATATGTACAACCAAAACAAGAAGTTAATTATCTTAAAGATAATGATGGTTTTTATACAGTGGCAAATTTTTCACATGATACTGGTATTGCAGAAGCTTTTGTTAATAAAGCACTTGGACCTGTATCAACTGTGCGTTTAAAAGTACATTCAAAATCCGAGGCATGGGTTATACTCAATGAGGTAATGTATAAGATTTTGTTTTATTCAACTTGACAGTCGGAGGAGTGATTTAAAAGTCCGGGAGAAACATCGCTTCGGAAGATTCATATTGATGGTTATTGTACTATGTAGATGTTCGCTCTCCGGAAATATTAAATCGTCTTTATAGAAGAGAAAAATTTGAATACAACATTATTCGTTTGATATAAATATTGCATAGTAAAATGTTAGCATTTATCTATCTTATGTCAAGCGTAATCAATCATTTTATGAGTGTATGCAATTGAGTAACTTGTTGAAACGGTATGAATAATAAAACTGATTCAATGTGCTTTTTGCATGTTATAAAACGATTATTGAAATTGTGAGAAAAAAGAAATTGAGATATTGCGCACTAGAAAAGTAAAGAATTATTTTAAAATGTATTAAAATCAAGATTTAATTTAAAGACATAAATAATAAATCGAATGATACAGATTAGATAAAATCTGTTATATATGAATAATAGATTTCAGTAAAAATAAAAATTCAATAGGAAGATATAAATTTTTGATTTATCGCATGAGCACACGTTGTTATTTTAGAATTCTCGGGACATAATTCAATATGATATACTTAACTAAAGAATGCAGCCAATCAAACAGGAGATGACCTATTAAATATCTGTTATTCGAGAATGTATGAAAAAAATACTAAGACACCGTAATAACACTTTATATCTTTGTATTAAATTTTTACTTGTGTTTTAACCATAAACTCTATATCAAACATACAATTCACAAACATTTTATTGTTGATAGAAAGGTCAAAGAAAAACAATGTTCGATATAATATTAGTAAAAGAAAAATTTTCTTTCACTTCTAATGTAGAGCATTTATTAAGCAATTGAAAATTTTAATTTAATAAAATATATTCTTTTTTCTTGCATTATAGATTCTTATTGAACCGACCACATGAGAATAATTTACAAGCATCTACATCAATTATTCGTTAACAAATGGAGTTCACAATCACATATGATAAAAATAAATAAATACTCATCTTAATAAATATGCAAAGAAATTGAAGTTTTTTTTCGGTGTATTTATGATAAAGCTGTGTGTACTCTATAGTTATGATTCCTTTTCTCTAGTCATATATATCTGTCTAATCCCTATAATACAATTGTTCACAATATTTATTGTTGTTATTCCAGTCTTGTTGTTTTTCCTTGAATGAAGAACGAGTTAA